AATTCCATTGGTCAGTTTGCTGCTGACCTTGAAAGTTTATCCAAAAGGACAACCTCAATTTTGCACAGAATGGCTAAAATCTGGGAATCATAAAGGGTAGTAAGACAAGAAATGGGTGGGTGTTAAATAAGAATTTAACTAATAATTACATAGACTTTTACATGTTCTTCACATTATTTTATCTATATTTTCCATTTGTTATTTCTGATGAGAAAACTGAGGCCAGTAAAAGTTATATGCAACACAACCAGTTCATTTCAGAGCCAGGATTCAAACCCAGATTTCCTGGTCCATATTTTGGGGTCAGTTCCACTCCACACCATGCTCTCATATAGAACCCTTCAACCACGGTAAAGAGACAATGATGGCAAATGAAAGCTTCTTCAACATTTTAATGATTCTGGTGATACTGACATTCTTGTTTTGCTAAGATATCTATAAATGCTGTCCTTAAAATTCCCCATGATAAAGGTAATGACGTCACAGACAAAGCTGGAGAAGTACATTCATTGGCACCTTTACCAGTTTCCTTCTTTTTCCAGAACTGTTCAGATATTATAAGATTAAGAAATGTGTTTTTAGGGTGATTTGGTCCAGAAAGTTCCAAAAGGAAATGACAAGAAATGATTTCCACACTTTAAAATTAAAAATACTCATCTTACTCACTTTAAAAGGAAGTGAGGAGGTGGCAAGAGAAGCTGTAACAGAATCTTCACAAAAAAGACTCAATCCCTTGTAATTAATGGGAACCTCTAAAATCAGAAGGCAAGGCCATTAATCATTCAGCCAACTCTCCATGAGGTTGGCATCACCCACTCACCCACACACCTTTAATGACTCAATTCACAACGGGCAAACTTGAACTGCAGGGATGGTCCTCAGAGCAGCATTTTAAAACTACTGCCAGTGAAATGTGAATGCTGTCACTAAATCAATGAGTTTGTTCTCTTTCTAGACCATATATGTGGCTTTTTTTTAAGACTAGGCTGGGAGGTGTTGAAATTGCTTCTAGGATTAGAATTGCTAGGCAGGAAGGTTTTTGTTTTGTTTTTGTTTTTGTTTTTGTTTTTTCACTATATATTAGGAATTCTTAACAATTAGATCTGAGAAGAGGAAGATGCTTCTTGTCAGACAGCAAGCTTAATATGCTGACAATTGTCCAAGGGAGGCTGAAGGTGCAGGAGAAAGGATATTTCCACTGGGTGGGAGGTTGGCTCCCGTTTCCTTTTGATTCAAAAGTATTTGTGTTCTTTTCTCCGTTATTTCTTGGAGTGACGTAATTAGTCAAGAAGACATATAATGGAGCAAACTCTTCCAGGAAACTCCCAGATGGATTGTAAGAGCACAGGGACTCTCCCAAGACTGCCAGGAATAGTGGCCGTTTCCAACTAGATGATTCCCCAAGAATTGCGTGCAGGGATCACCACCAATCTTCTGGTGAAGAGAAAAATGTTTTCTATGTATTTCATCCAAATTCTCCTACGGTTTTGTTAAACCTTAATAGGCTAAAGTTCATCTAACTAGAATATTTAACTACTGGATCTCATGACATTGACTGAACATTTTAATTTTATCAGAAAGTGGAAGAAAAACATTATAGATGAAGAAATTTTTTTTAAGTATAGGTTGTCTGGAAGTCAACACAGACTCAGCCTCCTCTGCTTCCAACAGATATTTCTGGGCATGGGCAATGAAATGGGATTTGTGCCAGGCAGTTTCCACAGGCATTGCCTCAGAAAACAGCATCATAAAGCAGTTATGATATTTCTATTTTATAGTGGAGGACATGGGGATTCAAAGAAGTTCAATGACAATTCCAAGATGACTCTCTAACCTTCTCTATTATTTTAGAAGAAATATTTACTCCCAGACTCTGATGCCTCCTCATTAGTGGGGAAAAACAAGTACTGATACACAACAGACTTCAGTTATAAGGAAATAATGCGGTAAGACCACTGGGAATTTCTACTTGTCCTCCAAGTACACAAAGAATTAAATTTAACAGAACTCCTAGCCTCCTAGTATACGAGGAATTGACTATATATTTTTTTCAATTCTATAGACGTTATCTGTTATGCGCTGCATTATGTTCCTTCAAAATTCATTTGTTGAAGCTCTGACCCCAGTACTGTATATAACTATATTTGGAGATGGGGCCATTAAATAGGTGCTTAAGTGAAAATGAGGCTGTTAGTGTGGCCCCTAATTCAATATGATTGGTGTCCTCATAAGAAGAGGCAATTTGGACATAGAGACAGCACGGATGTGCACACGTAGAGAAAAGACCAGGTGAAGAGGCCATCTGCAAGTCAAGGAGAGAGGCCTCAGAAGAAACCAACCCTGCCAGCACCTTAATCTTGGATTTCTAGCTCCAAGAACTGTGAGAAAATATATGTCTGTGATTTAAGCCACCCAGTCTGTTATTTTGTTCTGGAAGCCCTAGAACACTAACACATTATCTTTATGGAAGATGGAAGCAGTTTTATTATTCAGACAAAAATGGTTACAAGATGTAGTTGTTGTTTCTCCTGAAAGATGGAATATATAGGTCTGTTACATTACTGTGATCAATCCTGATTCCTTATCTATAAGGACAGGGAGGTACAAGCCATAGACAGCAATAGAGTTGGGACCACTCCAGTTGGAATTCTACCAGTGAGGAACTCACAGCCTATTCATATGGATAAGTTTTTAGCTAAAGGATCTAAATAAATATATTCAATATATTAAAGAACTATATTCTTGGTGCTTTGCTAGTCATACTCAATATCATTCAGCAAAGAAACTCAACGTTATATGTGAAATCACACAACCACATAAATATAAATACATATATTTGTAAAGACAAATTCTGTTTATATCCCTGGAACCTCAATGATTTAAATCAATATGCTGTCTAAAAGAAATTTCTGTGATGATGAAAATGTTCTATATTTGTGCTGTACTATATGGTAACCACTATCCACATATGGCTACTGAGGACTTGAAATGTGGCTAGTGCTGAGAAACAGAATTTTTAGTTTTTTATTCATTTTAATTAAGTTAAATTTAAATAGCCACATGTACTTAGTGGCTATCATATTGGATAGTACAGTTCTAGATCATATGAAAAAATTAAACATGGCTTTAGTTTTGTTTGGAAATAAACAGAAGTAAAGTGAAAACACAAAGAAACAAAAATTCAGTGTCTTGTAATATTTTACTACAGATTCTGTTTTGCTTGGCAAACACTGACTTGACCTTTTTAAGAAATGAAATGGGGCGCCTGGGTGGCGCAGTCGGTTAAGTGTCCGACTTCAGCCAGGTCACGATCTCGCGGTCCGTGAGTTCGAGCCCCGCGAGCCCCGCATCAGGCCCTGGGCTGATGGCTCACAGCCTGGAGCCTGTTTCCGATTCTGTGTCTCCCTCTCTCTCTGCCCCTCCCCCGTTCATGCTCTGTCTCTCTCTGTCCCAAAAATAAATAAAAACGTTGAAAAAAATTAAAAAAAAAATAAAAAAGAAATGAAAAACAAAGACTTAAAACCTATACAATGTTTTTCAATATACAATTATATACCAAAGGGAAGTTAAATAATTATAGAATTTCAGACCTATAAGAGACCTGAGAAACAGGCAGTTCTGGATTTCTGATTTTAAGAAAGTGGACTGGGCACTTTATAAATATATATACTTCTTGTACCAAATCATCACATGTATAAAAATAAATAAATTACTGCAAAGCCAAATTCAAGAACAAGAAACACATCTATAAAAGAGAAACACAGAATGACAGGAAAAGTCACTGCCATGGTGATAATGAGGACAGATACCTGCTACTTTGCCATCCCACAAAGAGAGTCTCATGGATAATGCAAATTTGTGTGGGATAGTCATGTGGAAAAATTTTCTTAATGATAAGCATTTAATCAACAGCCACCAATTATTAGAGGGAAGCTAATACTATAAAAGAAATCAGAGAAACAGAGTAATCTGAAAACCTCTTAAAATATTTAAATTTTTCTCAGGAAGATGATCATATTCCCCCAAAAAGCTATGAAACCAAAACAGGAGATTATGAAACAAGAGTAAGTGACTATGACAAGGAACTGGATTTTTAAAATGAAAAATATAATGGCAAGAAAAAAAAAAAAAAGACAGATGAAGGTCTAACCAAACAGCTAATATAAAGTTGAATTCACACAGACAGATGGCAAGGAGATAGAAAAATGTAAGACAAATATTAAGTGATAGGAAAACTTGATCCAGAAATTCCAAATCCATCTGAGTTCCAGAAACTGCAATCAGGAAAAAAAAAAAAAAAAAAAAAAAGATGGGGAAAAGAGAATATTTACAGAAATAATGCAGAAAAATGTCCCCAAACTAAGAGGAAGGGGAGACGTGAGTCTTGGTTTGTACGGACCTGAAAACCTGGGGAGAACTGCCAACGACAACATACCTGGACACATAGCTGTAACATTTCGGAAACTCAAGGGAAGAATAATATCTAAAAGCTGCCAGAGAGGAAAGGCAGACTCCCTACAAGAGATGGGAATGGAGTGACATCAGTCATCTCATTAGGAAAGCATGCAGCACGTTTGCACCGGAAGTGTCATTTCTTCTGGAGGAATAGACATTAGCCTCAGAACTTCAGGGGTCATTTGGACGTCTCGCTTCTCTGCAATGTGGAGACACGATGGTAACGCCCACCACCTGCACAATCTCTGTAGCGACAGTGACCCTCTCATAACTGGTTTTCATACCTAAATACTCCCGGAATACTCACGCCCTGTTCATGGCTCTCCTAACAAGAAGTTTCTACTCCAAGAAAGGGAACTTGCTCACTTGCTCTCTCACACAGGCTACACCTACCCTGGCCTTGAGGAAGCCCCGCCTGCCACGTGTTCTTTCAGTGTTGGTTGCAAACTGCATCCCCGTACTTGGAAGGAGGGCGAGGAGGGCTTAGAGAGAGGACGAGCCCGCAGCCAAGGAGCCTGTGGCGGGTTCTGGAGCCCGGAACTCACCCAGGAGACTCGCTCCTCCAGGCACCGCAGGACACTCACCTCCCCACCGCAAGGTCTAGGCTCTCACACGAGGCAGGACTGGGTAACTGCGCGCATGCGTCCAGAGGATCTGAGCACCACGCGATCGCTCCCTGCGCGCTGGAAATGGCTCCGCGGAGGGCCGGCGGGCAGAACGTACATTCCGACCTCCGGGAGAGGGTGAGGAGGTGAGGAGCCTCTGCTTGCAAGGGTCCAGATCCCGGGTCAGCCAGTCGCGTCCCCTCCGGGACCTCCTCCAGCTCTCCAGCCCCCGTGACCCTCTCGTAGTCCAATCACGCCCCGCTCCTCATGCCCGGGGCTGAGCAAGGTTCCCCTAGGATGGAGGTGGTTCCTTCCTTCGGCTGCTACACAGCTGCACCTGAGGCGTCCGCCAGGGCAGCGATCGAGGCTCACGCAGGAGAAAACGGGATCCAGAGAATGAGTCCCAAAGTAAGTAACAGTTTTCTTCACCAAGAGCCTCATGATTAAAACCACTGACTCATTAAGCCTCCTGGGCTGGGGTCAGATCACTCAGGTGTTCACTCGAATCCCTATGGGATTTAATGAAGACGGCACATTAGCCAAATCCTAGGGTGTGAACACAGTGTCCTGCTGCCAGTGGCACAGGTGCCTCCTTGTGAGGCAGTGATAGAGTCCAAGGCCATCCCATTTTTGAGGACAGCTTTCTCTGTTAGAGACATCTCAGTATTTGGTGAAGACAGGTTTTGTCAGCTGTCACTGAAGGTTTGCTAGGTGAAATATGTCCTCTGGGCCCATGGAGGGAAGGAAGACAGGGGCCAAAATGATTGATCAGTAGAAAACTGAATGTGCCCACCTGGCCTTGACAAGAGGGAGGTTGGCAGCTTTAGGAACCTGAGAAGGTTGTGCCCCCCATACCTGTTGGTGGGGTTCCACACTTAATGGCTACACTATGCCATCTTTTATTTAAAAGATGAACTAATGAGGCCTAGGAAAACCAGTGGTTTTTTTTGAAGTTGACAGAGCTAGTAGAACCTGAGCTGACATTTCAGACATTCCATTGCTTTTTCTGCCACCCTACTTGGGTTGCATTCCACTTAGATTTTATTATACACTATGCATCATTGTTCTCTGAATACTTCTTGTGTCTGTATCATATACCCACAGTAAACTGTGAACTGCTTCAGAGCAAGGACCATTTCTTCTAGTTATTCTTGTAACATATACCATATGCTCAGGCATACAGAAGATTCCAGCACATGTTTCTTAATTTGAATGGAATAAGTTGCCCCATGACCCTGCAAGTACCTCTACAATAGCACTTGGTTTTGAGAAAACACCCATCTGTACTCATCCTGCTGGGAGTAATATGCCAGTAGCATTCTGCCAAGGAGTTATTGTGTCCTACTTTGGGTCTTTACTGATATCACTGGCTTCTAAATAGAAGCAACCCTATTTTGAAGGCATTCTTGGGAAATTTCCTTTATCTCTTTTTTTTCCCCCATACCAATTCCCTTCTAAAGCAGTATAAAAAGATTTAAAGAATGACTGTGGAATCAGCCTCAGAGATTCCAAGAATAATAATTCACATATGTCTTGAAAGGTTTAGGTGTAAGATGAACAACATAAGCTCCAGGCATATTTATGGAGTCAAAAAAAAAGCAATATTATTTTACATAAATATATATTTTATAAAAGAATAAATGGAGGCTCCTAACAAGTCTCATGCCTGAGGTGCCTTAGGTTATGCTTCTGATAAGTGAAGGATCAGAGAATGGATTCCTGGTCTTTCTAACTCTCAGTCTGGTGATCCTTCCTCTCATTACAGCTGCTGTACCCTGGAGGGTGAGGGGAAATGCCATCAAAGGTTACTGCTAGAACATTCCTTCAGACATATATGAAGGCTAAACCAGATGGACTCCAGGAAGTATGCAACAGGTAAGGCATCTTGGAGAGTTAAAAATAAATTCTCCTGATCATTCTTTAGAAAGTTAGAGGGAGAGATCATATCATAGCCAGGTGAAAGTTCAATAAAATCTTCCCACCAGCTAAGGAAGATGATCAAGAAATTCAGTTCTGACCCCGCTCACGGGCAATTGCAGGCATTCTCAAAAAGCTCCTGTCTTCCCAAAATAAATGTCTGTTCCACTTGAGTTAAAATTAGACACACATTAATTCTGGCTGTTGACATGAGGCCTCTGGCAAGCTGGGTGGAATCCAGAATCCTCTACAGAAATGACCAGGCTCTGTAGACATCTCCCAAGGCACCCAGCTAAAGGATTAAATTGTCTCACCATTTCTCCATCACCAGTGCCCTCTGTCCCTGCCTCACAACTAACCATGTTCCAGCAAATGCCAGGACATGAGCAAAAACTGCCTCTCTCTTTGTGGCTGAAGTTCCAAATGGAATGGCACAAATGTAGGTGGTTTTATTTTTTATAATGTCAATTCCTTGCCCTGACCTTATACTATTCAGTATATAATTTATCCATTCTTTGGACAAATATTTATTGATCATCTACATTGTGCTTAGTGTCAGGGCGTATGACTAGGTCCCTGCCCTCAGTGGCCCCATGACTAAGGTATAGAAATTATTATTGTTTTATGTTCTGCCTTTAATGAATAAGGAAATAGACACAGAAATGTTAAGTGACTTCCCAACACTAGTGTTGGAGTACGAAAAAGTCCAATTTTTTCAGTGTCTCAGAGATGTGACTTCCCTTTTATCCTTACTTCCTTCAAAACAGACAAACCTCATAGCAGCTTTTAGTGCTGTCTTATTAATGCTGTTTTTATAGTTTTCCCCAAAAGATATTAAAGATATGTGAATACATGTAAGAGCATTCATGTTTAGATTGGTGAAAGTAATTTTTTATGTGTGTATAAGGAAAGGAAGAAATATAGTTTAACCAAAACTTCCTCTCAAACTGTTTTTTATCTCCGTGATCTATATGGATGTAAAAAATTACCTACTGAGACAACTGTTTTAGTTTTGTGTTTGTTTACTATGATTCTGGCCCTCATTGTTTCAGGCCTGCATTCTTGCAATAAATATTCCTAGAAAAGTTTTCTATTTAACTCAGTTTTTCAAGGGACTTAATTGTTTTTTCTGTAGAACAAAGTCTTCCTGTGGGATGGAGTTAAAGCTCCTTTGGACTATCCAGTGATCAGACCCAATATTCCTATTAATTCAATTCACTACTTTGAGTATTTAGACTTGGGATACAACAGTGTAAAATTCTGAGCCTTGTACCCAAGGAACTCCTCATCTGGCAATGGAGGAGACCAGTAAGCAAATAGTCACAATCTATGGGGAAATCCCTTGTAGGAGCCTATGGCAAGCAGAGAGACAGCTCCTTGGAGAAGTAACTGGCTCAGTTGGAAGATGTGTGGTCAAGAAAAGCCTCTTGGAAGAAGAGATGTGTGAAAGTTTCTGCAACAAAAGTCCTCCTTTTCAGCCAGGCCAGTCTCCTCACTGTTGTTTGTGCCAGCCATGTGCATTTCTGCCTCCTACTGTCTCTAATTCAATGACTCCTACTGGTCAAGCATTAACTATGTCCTAGATATATGTCACGGATACAAAATCTTACCACACTTGCTCTCAAGGAACTTAGAGTTATTGGGAGAACTTATTTCCTGTGTCTGCCATGCATTTGCTTGATACATTTAGAAGACTTCAAATATGTACAGGATATTGATTTCCAACATTATCATTTACTTTATCCAAATATCCATCTTCAACAACATGTCTTCCATGAATTCATTCTATAATCTCCCAAGACTCAGAAATACTCCTACATGCCTGGAATTCCCATTATATACTTTTTGTTCCCTTATGGTATTACATATATAGATTGTACTTTCATATAGTGTCATCGGTCAATGCTGAAGGGATCCACGAGAAAAGTCTCCAAGGATTATGTACTGTGTCACCACCCATCACTTTTGAAAAAGTGCTGTTTATTTTTTTACCAAGAGTCTTCTTCATGGTGCTCCATGAGAGACATTCCTAGCTGGTGTTAGTATTAGGAGAGTTCTGGGTCTCCCTAACAGTCCATCTAATTTTACTTGATATGACACTATATAATTTGTGTAATTCATCAGATTTTCCTTTTTAAGGGAGACTAAATGTTTAATAACCAAATTGGTGGCCAACTCATAGGAAGCATCTGTGGGGTGTTTGGATCCATTTACTTCCTTCCTTCTCTCTTCTCACCTAATTTCTCTTTATTTCTCACCATTTTGCATAATTTGGTAAGCTACCTAAGTCTCTTCTAGACTGAACAACCCCTTCTGATTAAATAAGAATCATATTTACACTACTTTTTTATCATCTAAGCCTGTAGCCCAGGGTTAGCATGAGGCTAGGGTTACATTACAGCTTTCAGGGGTGAATTTCCTGAGAACTATTTGCCTGTTTTGCTGCTATACAAGTAGGCAGAGTCCCCTGAAGGAATACAAGAGAAAAATCTCTTCTTTTGTTTCATGATCTTAACAAATTGAAACAAAGCCAAGATGTGAATTTCAAAGACCAATACTGGAGTCTTCAAGTCTGAGCAACAAAAATATAATTTCAGGCCTTGAAGTTCTCATCTACTAGAAGGTAGGAAATGGGGAAAGCTGACCCTTATTTATGTTCCTGATTTGCCAAGCTGTAATGATATTCTTTTCCTTAAATTTTATCGATTTTGATAAACTCTGAACTCTGTCTTGCTTTAGGGAAAGCTATAGAGCTATAGATTTTTATGTCAAAAAAAATTTGTAAGATCAACATTTGTTCTTTGCTGAAGGCCTGTGGAGAATATGGAGAGTATGCTTAGTGAAAAAAAGGCTTCAGTAACCAGCATGCAGAAAAGCCCAGGAAACCACTGATTGGCTCCAGGAAGCTGGACTCAGGCCAAGTCTCAATGACCTTTTCTATAGAATGCATTCCAGCCAATTGAAACTCCCAGCCTAGTGCCCAAAGTGATAATGCTGTCCCTAGCCCAGGTTTCTACCCTCCATTTCTTAGACCACTTAGCAAGTTGTTGATCCAGCATCGAGCTGTCTTCTGTCTATAGCCTACATT